ACAGTCTGGCGTCTTTTATCAGGTGCCATGTCGCGACTGCTCTTGACATTATACAGGGCAGACCGGGCGACGACTTAGCTCCCGAATAACGGAGCACACACCGGAAATGCAAAGAGGCAACCTTCTGTCCCAGATCGCTACCCACACCTTGGCAGAAGGCCACTAATTTGACTTCTCGGGCGCACGGATAATGGCCAGAGCCACTAATAAGACGGGGCGAGAACGGCTGGAGGCCTAGGTGTCAGATCCTACTTCCATCAACAGGCAGGTGGATATACCGCCCTGTTACTTTGGCATCTGTACTCGCGACCAGCAACCACGGCCCAGTTCCCGTACAAAAATGCAGGCTGCCACGTCAAGTTCACACACCATAACTCCAGGGACGCGCGTATGGGACACACGATAAGATGGCGTGAGAATGGAATTGGCGTGGGCATTGAACAATCACAAGTACCAACCCCCTCCCACCCCTCTTTATGCGTAGCCAACGCTTGTTGTTTTCTCACTTTCTCTGACGATGGCTTCTCGTGTGGAGTCAAAAGCTCAGAAGAATAACATTGTCATTTCAGAGATCGCGCTTACACATGCATATTTGCTTCTATTCGAGAGAAAGGTATACCTGCGAACCGTGGGAGGCGCGGTATCGTTTTCTGTTGTGCACACTTTAACTTACCTGATACTGAGACTGAGTTTATTAAATGCAGGTAACTATTTTAAGTCGACGACAATGAAAGCGTAGCCTAGCACTTCCAAAGACAACAAGGATGTGTATGCGAAAGGAAATAGGATATAATATATCAGAAGATGTTGGGTGAGAACTCAGCGCGACTTACGGATGCATGTTGTGGTCACGAGACATGCCATGACGAATCGCTTGTTGGACCTTGATTCGGCACTTATCCAGGAAATGGCAGGTATTCAGAACACTATCAATGGATCTTCTGTCCAGGTAGGTCACAAACCCGAAGCCCCGTGATTCTCCCGTGGCCCTATTGATTTTTATTTCAACCTCTGCAACAGTGCCAAACTTGGAGAAGTAGGCTCTGAGATCGGCTTCGGTGGCCTTTGGTTTCAGCTGACTGACAAGGATGGTTGCATAGTTAGGGTCGAAGTCAACGGCCTCTTTATCTAATAATAAGTCTTCAGTATCGGCAAAAGCATCCTCTGTTTTGGAGCAACCGGTATCATTTTGCTTAGGGCACCTGAAGCGTAGAAAATATAACATCAAGTTTAATGCTACAACATAAAGAGTTGAAGGAACAAGTAAGTTCATCACGTTCAACGTATAACAAGAGGTCGAACTTGGTAATCTTTCAACAACTTGGGAATAATCATTGTCTATATTTTGTATCATTCTATTGTTTTCTAATATGTATCATTAAAGCTCTCGCATTGATTTTAATTCCGGAGTTTTATCATTGACCTAACCTCGACTGAAATTATGCATGCTATTTTTAAATGTACTAGCTGGAGATAGGAAAAACATATTAACGCTTTTCGGTTTACACAATGGTTGTTTATATTATCCGACTGCGTTTAGTATCACCACATAGTTTCATATTGTATTTGTGGTCACAAGAAGTGCTGTGGCTCAGAGATATGAAAGCGTTTATGTAACTAGATAAATCTAGAAGAATGATTTTATTCGCTAAGGTTTTTTAGGCCTGAATCACGTTTGGTTGGTTAACTGCCGT